TGTGTGTGTGTGTGTGGAGATGATTAGCCACTGCTGATACGGGTGCTAATGGGGGTCCTCATTAACAAACAAACAAACAATTGCAGCGACTTTACTTGTTACAGGGAATAAAGTGCCAACCTTGCACGTTGAGTTCAATGTTAGTGTTTGTGTTATTATTAATGTGCTGGGTGACACAGACTAACAATAAAGTCTCACATCTTTTCACATCACACACAATTTACAATTTTAATTACTGACTCTGTTTTTCTGCATCGGTTGGTCGATCAGTTCAACTAGAAACTTCGAATGGTTTCTTTGCATTTTGTGTGGAAGGTTACGTGTAATAATATCTGATGGCGACATTAGAGTTCCCTTCATTGGAGCCATGTGAAGGGAACTAAGTGCAGACGTCCCCCAGCAGCTCAGACGGACACAAACCAAAACAAAAATGATCTAATACGCTTTCAGCCTTCTCCACTAACGTTGCCTAGGAAACCATTACATAATACACAGTGCTGCAGTGATGCTTGATGCTAACCTGTGTGTGTGTGTGTGTGTGTGTGTGTGTGCTTTAATAACAGAGCCACACAAACTGAGAACATGCAGCTAATGGTTACAGACACCAGACTCTATTGATGAGCTTATAGTTTCAGTCCGCTGCAGTCTGCTCTCTTCCTGATGACATAAGGGTCACATGACCTCCACGGTGTAGATTTTTTAGAGACGTTGGCCGTGAAGCAGCATTGAGGGTTTCCAATTAAGGACAAAAACAAGACGGATGCTGCGGAGAGCTCTGCCTGACAGATAATTCATTAAAGGTTTGAACTTTGCTACAAAAATAGAAAATGTTTAAAATATCACAATAATAAGGAAAGAAACATTTTTGCCTTTTCATCAGTAATGTTTGGTTTTATACAGATTGAACAGTCTTCTGCCCCTCCAACTGACAATACAGTGGCTTTTGAGTATTTTATAATCTTTTATTTTTACAATTTATAATTAGTTTTATTCTGTTCCTGTTTTACATTGATTTTGTTTTTGTCTTTTTTATTTCTGTTTAAATAGTAACCAGTGTGCTGTCTTAGCCATGTCTCCCTCAGAAAAGAGGTTTCAATCTGAAGAGACTTCCTGGTTAAATAATAAATAACACTTTACTTTCTATCGATGTGGCGTGCACTCTAATTTGTACAGCAACTCTTCTGCTATATAAATAAACCTGACTATATGAAATACTGTAAGAGAGGGTGGGAAACATGTTAATAGAACAGCACCCATGTCCTCATATACTACATGTGTCAAAACACAGCTGGTCGGGCTTTTCGTTGCATGGAAATAAATGTTATTTGGTTGGATGGTTCCTCTGATTTGAGTAAAGTCTGTGTAATACTGGGGGACACCGATCCTAAAAGCAACAACTGTGTTGAGTTTGTTACCTGCAAGATATTTACTGAGTTTAAATGAAGCTGCAGTTTGAGAAATTGCAACAAAACAACAACAGCCATTTTTGACATAAATAATAGGGTAAACACGGCTGTTACCAATGATACTAACTGAGGTTTCATTCCATTTAGTGTAGCAGAGCCTCTCCAGTGAGTCAACAGTAGCAGCACCCTGACTGTTTGACCTGAATGAAACAGCACCTTACTTAATGGTTAAGGCGTTGGTAACACCTGTGTTTACTCTACTATTTCATGTCAAAATGGCTGCTGTGAAAAAGGTCTAAGAGCTGAAAAAAGAGCCCTCTGACTCTAGGTGCAGGAATTTCATATTTGAATATTAAACATGAGATTAACTGTAATGTATCCTGCAGAATATTCTTTATGAGGATCAGCAGTTCTTATGCCAAACCCCTCCAGAAGCTCACGCAGCCAGAAAGACAGTCACAATCTGGAGGACACTGATTTCTAAAACTCTTGTTGGGGGAAACCCAAAAGGCAGAATATAACCAGGCCAGAGTCTGCTGTTATGTAACAGATCTGTGGAAGTCCACAGGCGCCCCCCGCTGGTCACACGGACTACAGCACTGTAAGGATCTTCACAAAGTGAACTGACAGCCCTGACAGCCCTTCTAGACCACATGATTTAAATCCAAAACATCAACTTTAAAGCTCTCCTGGCGTCAGAAAGCTCGGTAAGCTAAGCTGAGTTTCATGACACTGTGGCAAACACAAACACATACGGGTGAGGCGTGTCGGAGCGGGGCCACTGTACCTGTGTGTGGTAGGAAGGCCATGGCTGCAGCGGGGTGGCTAGCTGCTCTCCTGTGCTGTGGCTGATCGTGGAAGCCCGAGCCTTGAGGTCTGGACAGCTTGCTCAGGGGCTCGTACACCACTTTGGCTTGGCCGTCCTGGGCGGACAGCGGGTGGCAGGCGGCGTGGCTGAGCAGGACCGGCGTCGGCAGGGAGGCGGGGAAGAAGATGTCGCGGTGGTCCTTGTACTTGGGTGTGGTCGGGGCATCGCCTGCAGACTGTTGGAGACAGAAGAAGAGAAGTGGTGGTGAGGAGGTGTGACTGACCTTGGGCATCCCATCTGCAGCGCTAACCCTCGTGCTCAGGTAGATTTCTGAGAAGCGTACATCCTCTCTCTCTCCCTGGAGACAGAGCCCGGTCAGAGACTCAGTGCCAGAGAGGAAAAAACAAAAGAGTGAGCCACAGTCGATACCACTGCACTTTTCAAACACACATCAGCAATATTAGTCTGCTCTTTCACAGAAGAAGTAATGAAATCCTTTACAGAGCTGCGGTGTCGTCCTGAGGGGGTTCAGAGGCTCACTTGTTTGCTGGACTGTGTGTTGGGTGCTGGCGAGGAGCACAGCTCTACACCACACTAAATCCCTCTGAGCCACTTCCCTGCCTGTCCTTTTGAGGACCACTTATAAAACACAAGAGCTGCACAAACAACCTGTGACAACAGCCGCCCTGCTCCCACAGCCACTGTCATGGCAACGCAGAGGAGCACAGTCAAAAGAAATGAAAACACCTTCTCTAGTTTTCTATTTAAAAAATGGATGAAAAGTTGGATGAAAACTAGCCTTCATCAGCCCGTAAATCCAGCTCTTTAGTCGTATGCCTGAAACATGATTTTATATTCACAGAAGTGTACTGCATTAATTATAAAAGCATGAGTATGACTTTATATTTGCTAGGGAATGCGCTTCTATGTCAGAGGTATGTTTGATTATTAAATGGATCACAGTTTGGTTAAGGTTGCAAAAGCCTCGAGGCCACATCACACTGCTGTCATGAGGAGCAGGCTTCGACAGAGACAGTACGTTATAACACGGGATAATTTGGCAATAACACAGCTCTCATAGCATTTTTTCTCAGGCTCTCTACTGAGAGTTAAAGTCAAATTGTGCTCTGAATCAGAGCCATGTATGATGCAGCTCCCTACGGGATTCACACAGGCAAATCAAACAGAGTAGCCTTCCAAAAGCTTAGGCAGCAACAGATCCTTCAGCTCGACACAGAGCGGCACAGCAGCTTCAAGCATGCTCCAGCTCCGACGCCAGCTTTGATGATTCATATCTCATGAATTAAACATCGCCAACAAAGACACCAACAAGTCAGCTGGACTGTGTACATTAGAAAAACACTGTACCTGAGAAAATTGCAGCACATAGCATGCAGCCAGGCTGTAGGCTCCTCGGGTGTCTGCTGTGCGGTACGAGTGGGCTGCTGGCAGCCACGCCGAGGTCCCACAACGTGAGCTGAAAGATGGTTCTTTGCAATTATCGAGATTGGGCTTTAAATCAGATTAGAGCAGCTGTAGATGTCGTGTACAGGTTCGGTCATCTTTCCAACAAAATTGAAAGACCGGCCGACCGAACATTTTAATTAAATTGCCTGCCCAAATGGGACTGACAGTGGAGCTCCTTTGTGAAGCAATGTCTGTATTCTTTGATGACTAAAACCTCCATGTCCTTCCAAAGTCTGCTGATATACAGGAGACTAATGAAGTACCTATATCCAACCTCTTGAAGAGATACACCAACTCTCCAAGTAGCAGAGAGTAAAAAGATGATGAAAATATATCTTTGAGTGACAGTAACAAAGAGCACAGGTCATACAGTCTTGACATGCTTTCCTCCTGATACGGGGGGAGCAAACAACACGCAGAGCCCAACACAGCCGGTGTTTCAGATCAGCACTACACGGGCAGATCGTGCTCTGCACTTGTGGGGGCTTGAGGGAATGTGTGAATCTGCAAGAAGCAGGCAAAGAATTCATCACGTCCTCCAGCCAAGAGCTCCGAGGTGCCTACTCACATTTCCTGCTACACACAAATACAACCGAATGCAAAACCACGACATGAGCTGCAGTAATTACACATAAACAGCGGTTAGATTAGACTGCAGGACGAGCTAGTGTGCAGAGAAACCCTGTCGTATTAGCGCCATACGGGGGCTGGTGTGGTTGACCTGAAACAACCCGATCTAAGGAGCAAAGCAGGGAGAAGCACATTTCTCTACACAACGAGGAGGAATGGAATAAAATCCCAAATGAAAATTTAAAAATGAATGTGTGAAGTTAGCATAGTGAAACATCTTTTTAGGACTTTTATTAGGTGTAACATGTGATATTGGTAGCATACTGTATATGTGTTACTCTCTCTTCCTGCCTGCCTCCTAGCCTAGACTTCAGGAGTCTTATGGAAACAGATTTTCATTAAATTTAAGCTCCCTCGTTAAGTTCCAACATTCCCTCCATCTTACATTAAAGTAATTTGTCTTAAATATAATGTTTCCATAAATGTAAACTAGACTGCATCACACTATCTATAAAGAAGGTTTCTGCAGGAATCTGTAAACTCCACAGTTAATGAATTACTTGTTTCTGGATCACATATCATTTCCTTTAAATCGCTCTGCTTTGGAAAATATTTCTAAGTTGCATATTCATTAGACAAACCAAATTTGTTCTGCAGACCGGTCCAAGAACTAAATGTTTGCATTCATTAAATTAAATTAAATAGTTTCTATCCCTCTGGCCTCTCTGTACAGCAGGTTCATGGTGAGTTTTAAAGCGCTATCTAAGGAAGGATTGTTCCATAAAGACTCTTAATGTTGCTGTAAATTTCTTACTATAACATTAACAGCACTGAAGCTTTTATCCTTTGTTAAAATGTAAATGTGTATGAAAGAGGGCTGAAGACAGACTTGTTGCTCTTCCATTGTGCTTTTGGCTTTATGAAGTAGAGAAAATGTTTGAGGAGCAAAGTGATATAATTCTAGATCTGAGAGATTAACCCCCCCTTTCCAACTTTGGAAGATGTAAAGCCTTCATTTTAATTTTTCTTTTGATTTCTCAATCTGAAGTCTGTTATGTTAAAAGAATATTTTTGCTTGGGTAATTTGTACTGTTGAAAACAGACAATTTTTAACAGATTAACTAAATTAGGGTCAAAATGGGTTTCTTGTACGACAGTCAAGGTCACACTTTATGGAGTTAAATTAAAGTAAATTAATTTACTTGTTTTTTCCCCATCTCTCTTTCCTGTTTTCTTACAGTGTAATGAAAAGTTTACCTGGTCTTCTAACCTCTTTTTATTTATTTAAAAATAAATAACTTGTTCAGAGACAATCCAAGTTAACACATCTTTGTTACTATACATCCCTGTGTTCAGAAAGTGAATTCCCTAATTTTTCTCTCTCTCTTTTAAACATTTTGGTTATTTTAATAGAATCGGGAGTTTTCCTGTAAAGTGTTTAGAAAGATTTGAACTATCAGTCACCTATTTAACTACAAATGGTCATAATGAAATAAACCTGTGTTCAAATTTAAGGAATTTTTGACACAAGTTGGTATTATAACTTATTTATAATATATTATATATATTAATTGCGTCTTCTGACATTTTAATTATGAACACCTTTTCTTTCAGTCCCTTTCGATTTCTTTCATCGCCTCTAATTTAATTTGTCTGCATAAAGAAACTGTTTCTGATTTAGATTTAATTTCAAGGTAGTGCACAATTGCAAGGAAGTTAAAAAGTTAATCTGAAATACATTTTTAAAATATTTGTTGCAGACCTGAGGTGCAGCAAGATATTGAGGACATTTCTACATGGAAACAAACAATTGAAGTGCCCACACAGCTGTTTCAGTAATAACATAAGATAGCGATTCCAACCAGGCTTTTACACATTTGAGGAATGTTGCATGCAGCTCTGTGCCTCATCTGCACCATTATCTCTACGATGTTGCGTTTAGGCGTTAAAATTAGACAAACCAATGCACAGACAAACACGAACAAAGACAAATAAAAAGACTCATGCAGAAAATAAGATGATAGGATCAGCGAACTAGGAAAAGAGAGATTTCATTTTGCCCATAGCTACTTCTCATGAGCCCGAGGTTCGGGGAACATCACCGTGACAACAGGATGTGGGCAGAGAGACCCTTGTTGACTGTGTGGGCAGGAGGAGGGATGTGAGGAAGAGGGAGTAACCGACACAGGATGAGGCAGAGCAGCTAATGATTCGATGAGGAATATGAGTGCTGAAGACAAAGCTGAGTTAATAGTTGGTTTAGCACCAGCAGAGCACATCAGACATACTTATTTAATGTATTTAGACACTTCTGTCATTTTGCCTTGTAAATCATATGCAGACTGCCCCTGCAAATAAGAAGCATGCATAGCAAAGCTCAGCTGAACTACTGTGTGAGGCTGAGGGGACAACAGGGAGCATTCACACCACACTCGGGGCTATATTTAGGCCTGGCAGGCTGGAGCACGATTGACTTGAATAAATCTTAGGAATTTATTTCAAGTTACTTATCAGTTTAGCACATTTTACTACATATGCTACATGTTACTTCCCCACACATATAACACAGCAACCAAATGTTCATCCTTAAAGTGGCAATCCTCGAGATTTGAGTCCCGGTTGATTTGTTGACACCTAGTTACTAACAATAAGAGCAGATGTGCTTTAATACTACAGAATTCCAGGGGCAGCAAAACAAACCATTGTTGTTTGATAAAAGAAGTCAGGCAATAATTGGCCTTTTTCTCCGTTTTGTCTTTGAGCAACTGTGATCTGATTTTATGCTGCACACCGCATGAGTCTGCGAAAGTGAAAGGAGTTGGTTACCTTGCTGAGAAGTTGGAGGTGTGCAGCCTGTCGCCTGCAGCTCCTCATCTAATAGCTCACTGTGGCTGCTCCTTCTTGTTCCATTACTGCCTGCAATATTTCAAACTCATCTGCCCTCAAAAATTGCCCAAAACGACCGCTGTCTCGTTTTGTAGACGACATTTTTAATGAACGGTGGCGCGTGTGCTGACAAACACATGGCATTTCCTGTGACTAGTAGATAACAAAAAACACATTTTTAATGTGGAGCTGCAGCAGTAGGAAATGTTTGGTTTGCAGGAACTTAAAGGACCAGAGTGTAGGATTTAATGGCATCTAGTGGTGTAGCTGCAGATCGCAACTTCGTCGCTTCACCCTCCCCTCGCCCGCAAAACACAAACACCCCTATCTAGAGCCATTCTAAGGCAACAAAACATAATGATTCCTATAGCAGGCTAATTATGCACTGATGAAAACAAAACTTTTCACATTATATTTCTATATTTTCTGCAAACAGAACCTCTGAAAAGCTACACACTCAACCTTTAATACAGCATTTGTTTCTGGGAATGTCACCACTGATACCCAGCTCTTCATACTGCACTGTACTGTATTTAAATATTACAATACTTTCATCACTGGGTCATAAGCTCAGTCACCATTGTGTTATCTCATTTGGTGAAAGATAGTGACTTAACAGACATTTATTTAAAGCAGTAACAAGGAACTTTTCATTGATTCGTGTGGCCCCTGGTGGACAAAAGCGGTTCCATTGATTTCAAGGGGAATGTGCATTCAGAATAACTATATAGAAATAACCAGTCTTCTCCTTGATGGTGTGCTGTGCTTATGTAGGTCATATAGAGGCACCAGTATTAAACTGAGACCGTTTCATAACCAGTTAAAATCTTTGAAATTGCCACTTTAAACTTGCTATTATGAGCTAAATAGGAGTAAATGATCAATTAGCATTTAACCTGCTTACTTTGGCAGATGGGGAATGTACAACATCAGGATGGGACATTTTATTTTGGCGGGTAAAGCTCGCCATGCTGGGGACCAGGCTTTAATGAGCCCCGAGTTCAGTGCCATGATGGTTGCAGCTAATCAGAAATGATGTGCTTGGGCAAACTTTTACCTGCTGCAATCAAAGACATAATGTTGTTATGAAATCATCATTTCATGGCTGCATATTATGTAAAACAGTGTTCATCAAGTCAGCAAATTAAAGCTGCTGCCTTAAATCATTTGAGCACGAGGGGGAAAACAAGCATTTGGCATCAACTTGGATAACTCAGGGACATAGTACATTTAGCTCTCTGTATAAAGTACAGTGTGAGCTACGATGCACAGGGGAGAGAAACTGTAGACGTAGCAGAAAGATGGCAGGTGAGCATGCTGAGTTTTTACCTGTCTTTGGGCAGAAGTGGCCAACTGTATCTGGCAGAACTTCACAGCTTGGTCCAGAGCTACATCCTCATCAACCTGAGACAGGAGAACAGGCAGAACAAGGACATTAGGGCACAGAGACACATCTTCATTTACACATGGTTATATTCCACACTGTCAAATCCTTTCACACCTCTCTTTCTATTCAGCTCATTATGCAACGTGGGAGCAGAGAGCGTACTACAGCAGATTCATCATATATACGTCTGAGGTGAGCTGTCCTGTGTACGAACCATGTTAATTACTCACCAAGTCTTCACACTAAATGCCAAACCAACAACTAATTCTTTCTGATTCTGTATCAAAGCCAGCAGGATTTCTTCCGAGCTTCTGCCTCTGATCATAGCACGAGTAAAGAAAGGCTCACATTAAGAGCCCAACAGCTAGTGGATGTGTGGGAGTTGGCAAGCTTAGCTACAACCCAACATCGTACACTTAGCGGTAATCTTGTTCACACAGCTGTTCTGTTGCCTCCAGCAGCCTGTTGTATGCAGCGGTTCAGGGACCCCCAAAGGGAGGGATTTTCACAGCAGCCTCATTCTACTTTTAAAAATGATGCCAATTGTTAAATGGACTGAGTCAAGCTTCGGTGCATCAGAGACGACAGCTCTCAGCTTTTCAATTCATGTCTGGCTCACTGCAAAGCACACACAGATGCCAAGTGATGACTTATCAATATCACTATTAAAATAAATATTAGAATTTCAACAAGGCTTCTCTTTCACATCAATAAAACCATCCACTTAATGTGACATACAGAGTACTTCCTGCCATCACAATAATGTATGTCTAGACCAAACAGCTCAGAGGCTCTTTGAAATGTTCCACCTTTACATGAGCTGCAAGAAAGGAAAATATCTGACTGAAATACGCAGAAGTAATAACACAAACATAAACACGGATGAAAAAGATGAAAGGCACAGATCTGAACTGTAACTGCATGCAGCTGTGCAATGCATCCGACCATAAAACCACAGAGTCTGCAGTTTGTGCAAGTAGGTGCACAATCAGAAATGCTTCTGGAAAATGTCCAAGCGTATTAATTGCATAACTCATTTGGTGACAGGAAACATGTCGTGGCTGGTTCTGGCTACTCTCTCTCTCTGATGGGTGTGTCTGAAGAAATATTCTCTTTGCTGTCTCTTAAAGAGCACAGGAACAGATCTTAGCCGCAGCACGAGCACCTAAAACAAAAAAACAAAAGCTGCTGGAGCTCCTCAGAGTTCTGCTCTCTCGTCCTCCTCAGCTGCCCGTCGCCTACCGCCCTCCCACTCCTGCTACAGCTCTCTGGCATTACACAGCCAGTGACAAGGCAACTTCTGTGGGGCCGGCATTGATCTTCAGCTCAATATGGCTATATAAGCTGATGTGGGCTGTTCTGTGTACGCCACAGAAAGCGCTAGAGTTGGACTAACTTTCAACAACGGAGGAACATTTGCTCTAGAGAGACACAAAGAAACATCTCACTTTTTTTTTTTCTTGTACACTTCCTGTGCAAGTTCACATAATGACCTACAAATTTAACAGAAGTTATACAGATAGCAACCTTCTCCCTGCTTCTAAAATCTGAATTAAAATACATGATTATACATTTTCTTAATAGACAGAAGTCCCCCAATTTTGCTATAATCTGTTATAATATCTGTCTGTGTGTTGGCACTGTGCCAGGACACATTATTACTCTTTGACAGCAGTTCTACAGCCATTAAATACATGTATTTCACCACTAGAGCTGCAATGATCACTCAATAAATCTAGTAAATTAATCTACAACTATTTTGATTGAGTAATCATTTTGAGTCCTTTTTAAAAGGAAAAACGTGATTTAAGCTTCTCAAATGTGAATATTTCTTTAGTCCTGTTTGACGGGAAACTGAATATCTTTGGTATCTTTTAGCTGTGGGAAACAGTTATCAACATTTTTCACCATTTTCTGGACCAAAACAACTGATTAATGGATAATGAAAAACATCATTAGCTGCAGGCCAATTCACCATTCAACAGTCTCTGTATGGCAGCATAAACTGGCTGACAGACACTAGGAAATGATTCAGCACTTCAATCACTGCAATTTATAAATTGTGGCAATGCGGTGATGAGAAATTTATCAAGTTTAATCAGGAGCGGAAAAAGAAATCAACAATGACTGATATCAACAGCAGCTCCCCACATACTCGTGACATCACGTAAAAATTTTTTAAAAATCCCAGTGTCTTAGAAATACCCAGTTGGGCTACTTCTAGAATCAAAAACCTGTTTCAGGAGAACAACAGAAAGTAACCCAAATTCAACCTGTGACTTTAGTCTGAGTGTAGAAGCACAACCGCAGTTCATGCCTTAGATTTGTCGCAGCGTTTGAAAACGGAAAGAGGGAAAGTCCCTATTGAACAGTGGCTCTAATGTTACTAATTCAGTTAGAAGAGGGGTTTCCCAAGACCAGAGTATTTTAAGAGGGCTTATATCAAGCGTGCATGACTTTGCAAAAATTATAGGAGCGCATGTATTCACAACAATTATCAGTTGTTGATGAGGCTCACCTGTTTTATGAGCATATAAGTCTCTGACATGATCTTCTCAATGCGTCCCAGGTCGTAGGTCATGACTTTCTGGCCTTGCTGCCAAACCCTGTAGGCATCGAGCAGTAACGTTTTTCCAGACTCCACATCGTCAAGAAGCTTCCTTTTCCTGTTTGGCCTCCGTAGTGACCCCTGATCAGTCCCACTACCTGCCACAGTGACCTTGGGTGCTGAGGCTTGGAGCTGCTGCTGTCTGGAACTGATACTCAGCTCCTCTAGAGACAGCTCTGGTGTCCGGCTGCTGTCACTCACTTTCTGCTGGGGCTCCACGACACTCAGGGAGGTCTCAGCCTCTGTTTGGTTGCCCTGAGAATCTGTGATAGCAGAGGGCCTCCTCCAGCTGACAGGGTCCATCTCCATGGGTTCCTCAGGCCCCGCTTTGTGCCCCTCACTCCCAGAAGTCTCCAACTTCCCAGGGAAGCTCTCCGGAACCTTACTACCTTTATCTATGGATGGCGGCGGCGGGGTGAGTTGTGCCTGGGAGGCTTCCCTGGGCCCTGTGTCAGTGGCACAGGCTCCCTCAGTGAGCCCAGGCTTCTTAGGCAGTGCATGTTTGCTGTCCTCTGAACTGGGCCTGTTGGATGCGTCCGTTGTGGTCATCTCCCCCATGGAGGGCGCAGGCGCTTTGTGAAGCTGCTCAGACACCTGAAAGAGAACAGAACCTGTCAAAACACGCAGTGGGTGCATGCCAGACGTCTGAAACACTGAGCGGCTCTCAGCTCTTAGTATGTGTGTAGTGATCTGTGCTTCCTTACCCCTGTGAGACTGTTCAGATTGTCCTCCAGGACTTTTACAGTTAGGAAAAATGCTCGCTTGGCCAAAACCTGGCGATCAACATCCCGTAAATACTTCCTTTGAGGAAGAGAGAGAAGCGAGAGGAGAGGTGTCAGGAAACAAATACATAAGAGAAACAGAAGGAGGATTGTACAAACAGGGTCCTTACTTTCCCTGGTCAGGGGTTCTCTGCAGCATGAACGAGACTTTCAGAAGAGTATCGTGATCCTTTAGCTGAGACAGCACCTTCAGCAAGAGGACAATGGATCGGTTCATATGAGATGCAAAACTTCCTGGGCGATCAATCTCATCTACCGGAATACGCCAGATGCCCTGGAGGTGGCGAGGAGAAAGAAAAAAGAAGCAGAAGGAGTTAAGAACAAACAGCCTTTCTGACCCTCAGGCGGGCATAAACAGGCGATGAACTTCCTTTTAAAATACAAAATTGTGACATTGTCAGTCAGAAAATTCATATTGTGCTTCCCTAAACAAAAATACTGCTGGCACAGACACACTTGTTGGTGTGGGCAAACTGTGCGAGGAGGAGAAGCTGCTCACATGTAACTAGTTTCACATCTGACTGTACAACAAGCCAACAGGCTCATTTGTTAAATTCTGAAAGTTTATGTTTTTATGACATCTCTCTGCTACTACTCCAGGTTTTCAAAAAGGCACACGGAAACAATAAACACAGAGAGAGATGGAAAAACTGAAAGTTGAGGAGAAAACCAGAGGAATTAATGGAAGTTAAAAACATGGCAGTCAAAGAAGAAAGCCCTAATGAGGGGATGGAAAGGCGGCAGGAGAGATCTTGTGGCCATGTAGGAGGTGGGAAGGGAGGGACGAGGGGGGCTTTCTCTCTGGGCACACATGATAGGCAGCCTCATTAGTGCTCAGCTCTGTCCAAGCAATGCAACAGACCAGCAGACCGGCTGCCAACAAACACAGTCCTCCTTTGCAGGAAGCGTGATGAGAGTTTTATTTTATTTTTTTCTGATGGACGAGTCCACCTTTTCAGCGAGCACATGTCCCCCCAGCAGGTGAAGCGAGGCGAGGCTCTGCTCTCTGAAGCTACTGATGCGAGTGCAGATGGTGGCCTAGGCTGTGTACAGTCATAAAGCACATGGCACAGAGTACAGCTTCTGGCCCCAGAAAATGTGTGTGAGACAAAACAAAGATGACCATATCAGGATGGAACAAAACAAATGAGATGGCTCTATCAGCTGCTGAAGGCAGCGGGGAGCGCGGTGCTCCTCCTCACAGACAGCTCCAGATTGTCAGATGACATTTTCAAAGCCACTGGAGAGGAACAAAACAGGAAAGAGAGGCAAAAGAAACCCATCAAAACAAAATCATGCTCCTGAGGAGGGACTTACAGTCTGCTCACAGAGAATGTGTCAAATCTAAAATGCAGTATCCACACTCATCCCAGGAAACACCCGCCCATGTTTAAACCTATAATCTGTAACATTTACGCATCCATACAAATGGCTATAAACTCTACAGGGATGTGCTATATATAGTAGAGTTGTGTACTTCCATTATCACAAATGTTTCCAACAATGTTCAAACTCAGAGAAAGCTGTCATTTTATTCAGGTAACTCTGCGTTTCACCGATAATTGCGGCTCCCGGGTAGAAACCTCCCTGACCCATGAACACTGAAGAATCTAACCCGGCGAGAACGCTGACTGGGGGCAATGACGGCCAATGGTGGTGAAGACAACTCCCATGATCCCACGCTGCTTCACAACTTCAAACTTTGTCTTTTATTGATAGGAAAGCTCAAGAAAGACAGGAAAGGGGGAGAGAAAGGAGCAAAGGGCCACAGGTCGGACTCAAACTCATGCCCGCTGCAGGTACAGGGGGCGCCACCTCTACCAGGATGCCCCCAAACTTCGTCTTTAGTTATTGTTTTGATATGAGAGACCCCCTTGCGGCAGAAATGACATACTGTACAATGTGTTTAATACAAGCCTTCCTTTGCAAAATGCTAAACCAAGGATGTGTTTGTTTTTTGTTCACGGGGGCAGAACAAATATCCTCTTCTTAGATTATTTATTTATTATTTCAATTATGATGTCACAGGATCCAATTCAACCAAAAGCTCTGAAGAACAAATGTATGGCTCCAATGCCGGTGTGAAAATGAGAAGATTTATTATTATTATCTGATGCAATCAGGCAGAGCTTGGGAACGTTTTAACCTTTCAATGCACAGATTACCAAAAGCCTCCAGAACAGGAGCGGGACAAGTATGATGAGGGGGTGGGCTCTGCTTACTTAGAAAAACATCTCTAATGGAGGAGAGTTGTTCTTCATCAGAAAACCATCCAACCACAGCAAATCTGTTTAGGGGAAGCAGAGCCATGGCTTTACACAGATTATACTGTAGCACAACAGCTAAAGCAGATTTGTAAGACTTTAACTGCAATGATTTTAAGCATCTTTTTTTTTTTACCCCCCCCCTTTTTTGTGGGCAAAAATATGACAACTGCTTGATATCTGGAGCAACAGCTTTGGCACAGATGTGGCCAATACATCAGACAGAGATTAAGATGCATAGCAAACAAGGGATGACCAAGGGATGAATGCACGACGAGAGTGGTACATTACTGCTCTTTCTTCAGACTTTTTGCAGGTTTTAAAGGGTTTCTGTGTTTGGTCGTAGAGGTTGAGGAGAAAGAAATAAACAGTGCCCACGTCATATTATTAAGTAATGTTAATTAGTCACTCTTTCATGTGTTACAAACAGCAACAAACGAGTACAGGGACTAAGATCTGACAGTGCCACTACTTCCTTGTGTGAACGCCTGAGCAAATCGCACAACTGCTGAACCACATCTGGAGGAAACCCGTCAACCTGTTGGCTTATTTGCTTCATCTTCTCATGTCTTAACGAGCCTTCAGTAGCAGCAAAGGTCCAAAATATGAACCACAGCAAAACTTACTACATGCAGGGAAGTTTCACTAACTGTTAATGTGTTTTGTAGCAAGCGGCAGTCATCAGTGCAGCTCACCGATAACAACAATTTCACTATAAATCCAAGCAATACGTGCTAATTCTAGCAGCGTTTGGCAGGTGGGTGGTGTAATTTTACAACGCTCTATATTCTTCTCTACATGTATGCAACTGACATGTAGAAATGCAAACAGTTAAGACCTTCAGGAGGAGTACATGCATTTTATCTGCTATTCTGATTTAAAAAACACCACAGCACACAAGTAAAACACAAACTCTCACAAAATGACACAGGAACTCCGCTCACACAAAAATTAAAACCAACTTGTGCTCCATTTTCTAAAAGTCAGAGGGAAAGGCAGAAAGCGACTCACCATCACCAAAGAAAGCTACTCCACGGTGCCTGTGTTAGTATTCTTTTGGACAGTTTCCTGCTGGCGGTAGCAGCACCAGCAGCCCTGGCAGTGCCTCCACCCTGAAAGAGGCTCACGCTCAGAGAGCAAGGGGTGGGCTGCATTTGGGTGCTAGGGCAGAGAGAGCTGCGGGAGAGGAGAAGAGGAAAACACAGCTGCACACGGCAGAGCAGGAACAGGAGGAGAGGAGAATGGCAGCTACCTTGGCAGGAGGAGAAACGGGGCTGGAGTCAGGGCCTAGAAGCTCAGTGTGCCACTGACAGACAAGCTGACTCGTTCCTCTCCTGGTTTCAAACCCTGCCATCTCAAAACAAAAACACCCACGCACTCCATCTCCGCTCTCCCCTGACCCCAGCCTGCTGGAGTTCTCCCCCCCTCCTCCCTTCTCTTCTCTCGCACTATACACAGCGTACAGCCAATCCTCGTAGGCCTCTGCCAGCCAATCGCAGGCGAGCAGAGAAACTCCCGCCCATTAGTGCACACCCACACAATACACACACAAACAGAGGAGTGGGAGAGAGAGAGTAATGAGGAAACCGAACGAGTGCAACAGAGAGAGGAGATGAGTAGAGCGAATAAGAGCCAGGGGGAGGGGTAGAGCGTGATCACCCTGAAGACAGAGCAACAGGAAAAGAACAAGAGAACATAAACTGACTGAAAAATGAACTCAGCGCCACCACATCAATGTAGTGGGAGGCATCAAGAGGGTGGCGCACTAATGGTGAAAAAGAACCAAAAACCTGAGTGAAAAAAGGACAGGTTTGTGTAAGTAAAACCCCCCATTAACCACAGAAACCACAGGCTGGTGAAGAGTGCTGTCTACACACACACACACACACACACACACACAGCATTTCCTCAGCCAGCAGCATACAGCCCTCACCTTATTCCTTTCCTCTCTTTAAACTCTGGTCGTGTCTCTCCAGCTGGCCACCATAAACATATTAAGCAAACACACCTTGTTTTTCCTGCTTCCTGTTGTGTGCGTGAGGAGGGAAAAAAATGCTGAAAAATGTCAAGTCAACTGAAGACAGAGCAGAAGAAAGCAACTGAAAACATACTGGCAGCAAGACCTAATCCTCCAACATGCAAATCAAAATATCAACTTCTACAGAATGTATTCATTGGGCCAGTACTCCTCCCCTAAGAAAAAAAAAAACAAGGTTCTCCTGAGTGGAGCTCCACCTACAGCACACTGCACAGCTGAACACACAAACGTTTGAGTCATACATCAAACCGAGGCAACTAATGCAAGTGTAACTGTTCCCCTGAAGACTGTCCTAACCTAACATAACAAGACACTGAGGCTTACCTATAAGCAAAGTTACAATTCAAGCAGTCAAATCAAACATGATTGCTCATTCTGAAAAGACAAAACATGTTCTCTGAGAAGTTACGTGACCAGGATGGATTTGAGTTTTTCTGAAATGAAGCAACAAGGACATCCATTTTCTCTGGAGCTTCGTAGAGAGTGAACGCGTGAGTGGGTGGAAGAATATGTAAGCAAGAGTATATATGTGTGTGTGGTGTGTTGATTGTTGTGTGTGTGTGTGTGTTGTGTTGTGTTGTTGTGGTGTGTGTGTGTGTGTGGTGTGTGTGTCTGGTTGAAGGGGGAGAGGGGATGGAAGGTAACACCGTGGCTGGAGTGACACACAGGGACTCCTCAACGATCACTCGGCAGTAGTCCCGAGCAGCCAACAGGGCCTTGGCATTAAAGCTGAATTGTATAACATATCATTTTGATTTCAGCTTGATATTCTGTTAGCAGGGCGGGAAGGTGTATTCAAATAATGACATTATTACCAAAAATAAATAAATATATATATATATATATATATATACATACATATACATATACATATACACAAATAATATATACATATAATATTAATAGGTATGTTTTCATTAGTGTTTAATCACCTGAATATAAGAATTGTTGTGTGTTTATTACCTTATAATGAGCTGTTTATATCTACAGACGCAGTGGGTCTTCTTACAGTAGCCCAAATCAAACAACACCACAGCAACTGTAGTTTGTCCCACACATTTCACAGTCTATTCCCTGGTCCTCAAATACTAACACCAGCAGGGTTCAGTGAGTCGCAATCTGAACTTTCACCCCTAGATGCCACTGATTCCTTCACACTGGTCCTTTAAGGTGGAAGATGTACCAATAAAATAGCCTCACAGAGCAGATTTATTCAACTGCAGTACAAGCAGCTGAAATGAAGCAGTGAGTATAAGCCATTTTAACATACTGAACACTTCCCAACACTTCTGCTTCAGTGTCACAACACCAATTCTCACAATATCAGCTGTCAGTGTGTCAATGATGTATTGCCATAGACTGCTAAAGGTCCAGTGTGTAGGATTCAGTGGCATCTAGTGGTGAAGTTGAGACATTACAACCATCTGAATACCACTCAACCTTTTAAGCTTGTAGAAGAAACTACGGTGGCTGCGACACTCGCAAAAAAAGCAACAGAGCCTGACTGGAGCCAGTGTTTGGTTTGTCTGTTCTGGGCTACTGTAGAAACACGTAGCATGGGGTCCTATGTGGAGGAGGACCAACTCCCTCTGTAAACTTTTTACACAGCGTACCACCACCATGAGGCAGTTCCCATTTGCAGCCCCGATTGCAGTGTTTCTGAACCACTCATTTCCCTCTGCTTACTATCTTACCATCACATTTTAGCCCCTAACTAATGAAGGATGTATGCATGTGCTACTACACAGCAGACGGATACTGAAACACAACTTTTTAAAACTATTTTGAAGTTTTCGAAACTAGAGGCGGCTTGCATACCACCGGTGATAGATGTACCGTAGTTTGAGAACCAGATTATACACTAATAAAAACCTACATATGAGTATTATATTCCATTTCTTTACACACTGGACCTTAAAATGAATAACTACATAACCATTATTAGTTTATTATAGGTTTAAAAGTGAGGTGGCTCTCCTAGAAAGCACTCACGCTGACAACCGCACCAATAAATTATGCAACACAACCTCATCTGGATCATTTCTAAACAGCAGTATATAGGTTACTTCATGCGGGCCAGTTAATGTAACCCAGCCAAAGCGCGGAGGAAAAGTGGGGCATCATGACCTACATTAGGGAACTCTGTATTCAGCAACAGGCTCAGTGAGGTGCGTACTCAACTGAGAGTCAAGTCTGCTTGACATCAAAGTGCCATGCGCCGTGCCATATGTTCGACGTGATCAACAGTCAATTTGTGGCTCTCGTGCGGGTCGTTCTGTCACTGCAGAGACGACCTGAACACATACAATACATTCATCAAACACTCAGCCAGGCTCCGAGCTGTCGGCCGGCAGCTGAGATTGACTTGCCTAAAGTACACGGGTTAGAAAAGAAGGCTTGAAGGGGTTCTGCATCAAAATCCGCTTCCACCTGGCAAATCCTGTGTGCTGAACAATACCTTTCTATCCACAAGCAGAAAGCTCCTGTCCGCTCATGAAGCTGACGAAATGAAGGGTGAAGATACAAGCTATGTAATGTGATTCAGAAAAAAACTTCTTTTTTTAATTAACTGTCCAAAACTCAAACTCGATGAAAAAAAGAGATGTTTGATTAATATTTAGAAGGGTTTACATTGTCCTATGGTAGAGAGAGAGAGGGCTTCGTCTGAAGGGAACAGTAAAGCTCCAACAGTTGGTATGCCAGGGTGGCAGGTTTGCCTCCAGAAGGGGCTCTGTGAGAACCCAGTGGGAGCCAGAGCGTTGCAGAGCTCTCCTCCAGCTCAGACCTGGCCCACATCGCTTCAACAGTCTGTTACCAGAAGCCTTCTGGAGTCAGCACTTGACTCTACAGCCTACACCATCAACTCTGTCCAAAGTGATGTGCACCGCCAAAATATGTCCTGACAGCTGACTGATACGAGGCGCTGACATGTGATATTCTGCTTGTATATCTGCTCTGTAACGAAAGTGAGAGCATTTAGGCTTTGACAAATCACACAAGGAACAAATCAAAAAGTATGCCAATATCGGCACGTATTTAAAAGACACAATATCTGCTTCAAATGAATAGAGGTAAATAAACTGACATGCAGAACAGATGACAGATTCAGTAATCTCCTCCACTGGAACCCAACAGAGGTCTTGTAATTCTGAGAGGCAGATAATTCAACAATCTCCCACTGTGTGACTCCATTTATAGCAGCGCTTGTATCGAGTGATCCATATTTAGGGCTGATTTTTTGTGCATCCAATTCAATTATGTAAATAATGTGTGTGAAAGGGTAAACCTAACTGTAGTACGCCAATCATTCGCTCACAGCAAACACGCAGACAGCTCATTAGTCACAAACGTGGGGAGACACTTCACGGGTTCTTCCTCGGGGAGTTTCCATTAGCTGATAAATTCAAGTTTCTTACTTACAAGTATTTTATGAACAGTGCTTATGTGTGTGGTATTTGTGAGGTATTGTGTGTGTTTGCAAACAGAAGATAAATGTATTCCAAACCCTCTTCTAGCTGTGAAATAATTGCAGATCTGTGCACTGACTGGCAGCCAGAGGTGAGATAAACAACTGAAAAAGAACTAGCAGACCAATAAGAGAATGACTTCAGTGTCCACGCATTTACCCAGCAACTAGGGATGCCCCGATCTGGATCAGAGTCATTTAAAGCAGTGTTTCCCAAAATGCTTTTCTGGGGACCCACTTTTTAAGAATGACCAACCATGGCGACCCAATTCACAGTGAGAAGAGCAAATTTGTGCATAAATGAACTTTCCTGACCATTTTTACTGCTATTTCTGCATCACGTCAGATTTCCTTGAACAGGTAAATCGCTCACTTTATGAGACAAAATGAGCGTGTTTAGAAAAGGTTACCTGATCAGTAAAACAATGTGCATTTAGGCTTTTATTTTTTATCATAGTGCATTTCACAGGAGTTAAGGAACTAATTTTTGCATCATCAGCAACATACATGAATGTTCCCATCTAGAACCAGTGTTTGCTTCAGGTGAATACACGAATGAAAACATACCTGAATATTATACGCAATTTCTGCCAATAGATGGTCTTAAATGTTAGACACTGGACCTTTAAATATTGAGTATCCGTTGATCCCGAGAGACAGACAGCCCAGAGTTGACACCAGCTGCACTGTGCATGAAAGCTTCAGGGGTAAAAACACTTGTGTGACAGCTGACATGAAACCAAGGATAGGATCGGGTTCGATCAGCAGATAATCAGCAGATACCGATCAGTTACAACATGTCTTGACCGGCCCAGATACAGATCTTTAAACATGAGTTCAACCCAGTGGAGTGAGTCACTAAAGTGTGTACTGACCTGACATCGGCACACAGCCAACTGCTGTGCAGGCTACCGGCCAACATATAATACTTATAATTCATTTTCTGTTTAACTAAAGAATACTTATGGTAACACCTCCGATATGAATATCCAAGCCTTGCTATAGCTACCATTCAGCCCGTCAGATAACCACCCGATATACATTTAATAGATTACAAGCAGGAACTTTCTTAAAAGTCACTCTGAGAAACATCAACAACTTTAAGTCACAAGTCAGACGAATTAAATGTTTTCTGTTACTTACCTAACAATGGTAATGAGATCTCTGTGTGAGTAATGTAATGCCAACAAATCCAGCGATGACAGGTGTCTAACGTGAGGTGACATAATGATATGAACAGGAGGAAGTAAACACACAGGCAACTTACATTGAACAGGTTTGTCTTGTTTCTTTCACAGAAAAGTCCTTGTGCTGGCATGTGCTTCAGCTGTTGCCATGGGACACTGCTTCCTAGCAACACATCTCGAGCCCACTGTAGGTTCTGTGGTGAGAAATAAATAAATAAAAGAAAGATCACATACATGTGTATGTACACTTTAATATATGCACACACAGAAATCCTGATGAGGAAACCGAGAGGATACCCCTCCTTCATCAGAACAGACTGACAGAAGTGATAAACAAACAGATGTATCTTAGCATGCAGTATTTAATATCTGTTAAAAAGGGAAAAAAGGAGTAAATTATGCTCATTTGCAATCAGGAAAATGCAGACCTCTTTTCACAGCGTGATGACTCACAAATCAGTGTCTACACCAGAGCTGTTTGAATAGATAGCAAGCCAACGCCACTTCATGTTATCTCTCACCAACCCGGCAGCATATAGCATGAAATTACAGGCTCCTTCTCCTCCCATCTTTGGAGTGAGGATAAAGCAGGCCAGTCAGAGCGAGTGGAGCGGTTTTCTTGAAAACAAAAGCGGCAAGAGGCTTTTAACACTGGATGTGTCGGGTTGTGAGGGCAGCAAAGCAACCCGTGTCAACAGCATCACATCAACTGTCCGTGTCATCAAGTCACTGCCCGGGTGCGTTTGCTTTCATCCAGGCTTCTGATGACTCCACTGGAGAACCGAGGGAAACCTCACCACCTGTGTGAGCCTCCATTTAAAAGTTACTCTGTTTCAAATTGAACCTGAAGGAAGCTCTTTATTTAACTTATTAATGTTAGTGCTCGTGACTGTTAATAATAAAATAAAGGGAAAATTAAGATGTAGCACATTAGGAGGACACTACATCTGAGAGCCATAAACCAGATTCAGTACTGCGGTCAAATGAGCATATTACAAAATGGGGCTCGTCATTTTATTACATTCAAAGCTTCTACTGAGATGAAGTTAAGCTTTGAATGCAGTCATATTACTATAAAAAATCATTTTAAATAAAGTGATTCATTGGATGAAATGAGTTAGTCTTTAAAAGCAGAATCAGTACGATGGAGCACAAGATTCAGAGTTGGACTTGGAGAGAGTGGTCGAGCTGGGTAAAGGATGAACGGAGAGAGGGAGCCCGGTTAGCAGGAACAAAGTTGTGAATCAGAAAATTAAAAAGTTATTTCTGATTGTTTCACAGTGGCTCTAGAGCACAAATAAACAGCTGCACAACCCTGCAGGAAGAAAGCACATTGCCCGGGGTTTCTGCAGGTTTCAACAGGATAGATTTAAGACTTTTCAGACCTTTTCATATTTAATTTAATATTTGAATATTTTATGTCCAAACTGGCAAAACAAAGTAGGTACGGTATAATTATGATTGGAATTGGTTCCATCTATGTTTCATTTTGTAGTTGTTGCAGCATGATCGATACAAATTCCCCCAAAAACACGACAGCGAGACTGAAAAATGCAACTTTATACAAATAACTTCAACCTGTCAAAGTCACATTTAAAAGATCTGAATGTCTACATTTCAGATTATTGGATTTCAGACACCCTGATTGCCAGACATTGTGTGAATATCTGCAGCCAAAGCCACACTTCATCCTGTCCAGTGTGTATGTGTAGAGCTCAGCCCTGGTCAAACAGACACACAGACAGCAATGTAACCTCGGTTGGCACATTTGTGTGTGCAGCAGTCAAACATTGATTTAGAATTCGAATGTCAACGTTATGAACGAAGCTTCGGACTGCTTGTGACAGCCCTGTTAGAAAAGATAAAATATAAATAGCCTTTTCAAACCCAATTCACCCTTATTGAGTAGGGACAAAGGCTGTATTAAAAAGGTTCGACAAACGGAGTGCTGACAGAAGGATGCCACCACAGTAAAGCTCGACACAAACTCCCTGTGCCAAACTGGCTGAGAGAGCACTGTGCTACCACCCACGCACACCTCTGCCCACAGAGCCTTATAGCCAACACAGGCTGTTTCAGCAACTCGTGTATCACTGCAGACCCGGCAAAAAACACAAGGAAAACAAGATGAAACAGCCATGGCAGCTCTGATACAATTGTCACTAAAACAATTAATGCAAATGTGACTTTTGAAGAAATTGTAGGAATTTTTAGCGAGCCCCATCTTCTGTAAATGTCACCATTAATGGCAGGGGATAGTGATTATAGGTGTACGGCGTAGGTTTAATGGATGACTCGGCCTTTGAAATGCAACGAGGATGGACCAGTGCCATCAGTTAACAGGGGCGGACTGACCTGATGAGTCTTGCTGTTGGAGTAGAAGAAGGCCAGGCGGTACAGACTCTTGTAGTGCTGAGGGAAGCGGCCGAGGCAGAGGAAGAGAGCGCGGACGCACATTTCCACCAGCATTCGTCTCTGGTCGGTGCGTTCCGCGGGCAGCGCCTTGGGCACCTCGATCACCTCAACGGGGGGCTCTGGCTTCCTCTTTCCCTCGCTGGCTGGGGTTTGAGGAGCGGCCTGTTGAGAGGGGGCTGACTTTGGAGGGGTGGCTGGGACAGGCAGAGGATGGGGACAAGGGTCCGTGGAGACCTTGGGGGCTGAAGCCTCGGGGAGTGTCACCACCACAGATTCGACTACTTCCTGGATAACTTTTTCTTCCGTCTGGATGCCAGAATGTTCTCCATGTGAGGCTGAAAGTAGGATTTAAATCCAAGACTTTAGGACTTTAATTCCACTGACTGTGCACACATTTAAATACTTTTAGCTGAATGCAGTCAGTTAATGTGACATAACAGACAAAACAAACTAGTGGTACAGGTAAACGAGCCGTCCCTTCCATCCGAGCGTACCTGTGTCCTCGGATGTGGACTGCCCGTCCTTCACAGGGGTCGTGCTTTCTGATGACGACGAGCTAGCTTTCCCAGAAGCGGGTTTGTGGCTGCTGTCCTGGGAGCTGGCGGGATCTGTGAAGGCATCCTGGGTGGAGTTGGAGTCAGAGAGCATCACCACCTCACTGTCCTGACTGCGCTCTGCCAAAAACAAAAAAACATCATGGGTCATGTCGCCAGTTGCACGGACTCAGGTCCAGACAAATGACTTCAGCCTTTAGGAGTAAATACACATATAAATACATTTTTCATGTCCAAAAAGTGACAAAAAGTTACGTACATAAGTGTTTATACAGTATTTTGTTTGTCAATAAATTGAGACTATTTTATTGTATGAATTTAAACCAATTATCCAAAATTAAGTGTAATTGCACACTGTAACAGCATGCTGTGAAGGTCTGTTTCAAGCTGTTGGTTGATGACTTGTTTTTAAATGCCAAACATTCCCTGTTGTAATGTGGGGGAAAAAAATAAATACAATTATGAAACAAAAATAGGTCATGAGCCACAAATCCTTATTAGTGAGTCCCTAATGACACATTGTTATAAAGGAGAGATGGTTTGTTTTTGTAAGTGGTCCAAAACCAAAATGCCAGCATTCCTCTTAATTGCCGTGTTGTGCAGCCTCAGCAATAAAAAAAAAAAAAAGTCCTTGGCAGGGAACTGTAAATAACACAATCAGTGGGGCAAGCTTTTGCTATTTCAGTGAATAATGCACACAAGGGACTTTTCAAAAAGATTTACAGTCATGAGCTAACAGCAAAGTTACTATGGTACTGTAACATTTGTGTAAACTGACAACTGTATATTGGGTGCTTCCTACAAGAATGCACTTTAGGGTTAAAGACACAGCCTCTTAAGAGAGTTTGGTGGGTTTGAAGAGCAGTACCATTCAGGGAAGCCAGCCACATTGCAGACCTGGGCAGGCAGTAATCATGGTCAAACTCTGGTGAGGCTGTTGAAGATATGGGGAGCTGGTTTTAAAATAGAATCAAGAAAAAGCTGTATGTCTGAATTTATATTCAAAGAAATCAGCAATTTTCCTCAAAAATCAATCATTTACCTTTCATGACAAGTGAGGACAGATTTAATGCCACTCCCCTTGAATATGTAGAACCTGAGTCAGACACAAATATCTATGAGACCACACAAAACGTGCAGTGCAAGCGTTTAGAAATGTCAATCAATTATTGCCTCTTAAACTTAAAAACACATAACAGATCTCCAGTCAGTAAAGCAGCAACATGAATAAAACACATGATACAAATCCAGAAAGTTGAAGACGATGAACAGGAGATCATAAAAAAGGAGCATTTTCCCAGATAATGATTGATAAAGCAATGTCTGAATCAGGCCCTACACCACCTTGATGTCACCTTGATGTGCTTTCAGACTCAAGCCAGAAACATTGGACACCTACAGGCAAACATGTGCATGGTGGAGTACTTTCTGACTTCAGGCTCAGGGTTGCGTGCCAATCACAGGCCAGCCGCATTCTTCCCGACTCTGCATTTTCACACTAATTGGCGATAATTGGAAATTATATCCAATTAGTGGAAAACAGCATTCACGCGAGCTTTTGAAAAACATCTCCGGGGAGTTTGACTCTCTGTCAAATTAAGCCCACACCAAGCTCAAATTAAAACGTGACCACATGATACACCAGACATTTTTTGTGAATTGTGATAGAGGACTGACTTTTTGTCCAGTCGTGAAGACATTCACCCCCATTAGAACTACATGCATATAAATGGCAAAGCAGGTGGTAAAAAGCAAGCAGGCAAAGAGGTAGCAGGCAGGTAGGTAGGTAGGAAGGAATCTGGAAAGGGTGACAAAACTGGCAACATGGGCAATATGGCTGCGTTATTTGCACATTCAAGCTAAACATGACACATGGGGTGGGTGGACAGATGTCACTGGTTTTGTCATATGGAAAGAATGACCAGCATTTCGGCCTCTGATTCAAAATACTCTGCTCAGTTAGAGTTAGAACTAAAAATTGTTGACTCCCAATCCCTGGAATTAAACCCCAGGGCTGCTTTAACTTCACCATACACTCAATGTGAAAGTATCTGGCTGTTTTCTGTTCATTCTGACATCTTGTTTACACAGTAAAACACACACAAAAACATTCTCAGACACACACACACACACACACACACAGTGTCATAGTGTTCAAGACAATCATGATTGCAACACTGCAAGTAAAAGAGCTTACATAAAAGATGTACATGTGTGCAGATGTACATTACTGAAAGCAACAATGTACTTCTAACACATTAACTGTTTTCACAAACACTATTTTCAGGTTCAGCTTCATGAGAAAAACAAACATTTCTACACATTTGGGTTATAAACACTGAAAACATTCCTGATTATCAGAACTGCCATACATGCACATGACAACTTTTATTCTTAACGATATAATAAAATCCCCAAATAGTCAGAATTTTGCGACTTTCAGTTTATAATTTCACCATATAAGTGAATTATATTGATTATATATATAATTGATGAATGTAACTTTTAATTCTGAACCTTTTTCAGTGCTCAACAATGAGGATTGCCCAGTTGCTTAAGTAAGTAAAATGCTGCACAATTAATCAAAACATGATCAAAATTGCAATATGCAAATCGCAAGAGCTGCAACCTTTTAATCAGTCAAATATGTGACAAAGCAGCATTATAATGAAGTACTGTAGAGCTGCGGAGAGGTCCTGACCTACAAATCTTGTTCTCCAGAAGAAAACATGTTTGTTTGGTACAGACCCAAACAAATGATGATTTTTTGATGATTCTAACCTTCACGATTTATAATTTTTTCATCACAAATGTTAAGCAAACTCAACATGATGTTTTTACCATCTCGTGCAGCTCTACAAACATCATCTCAATCTGTACAGGAGAAAGTAAAAATTGACTTCAGGCAAGTAGATTTCTGACCCACTTTCCCCAAACCCATTAACGTTGAACCCTGTTTTTAGACAAGTCTGTGATTGTTGCGGTTTGTGTAATGTATGTGTTTGTGCCTGGCTGGCTCTTATCTCTGTTCTCATTTCTTCTGCTGCACTCAGGGGCCTCTTGAAAAGGAGATGTTAATCTCAATAAATTACCTGATTAGGTAAAAGGTTATAATAACAAGGGAGGTGATTGCTGATAAATATGCAACCACTGTAACCAAGATTTAGTTATTATTGGTAAAGCACTCTGGATTATACCTGGAATATCTGACAATGCAAACAACTGTTTAACCAACTGTGTGAAGCAGCAATCAGGATCACTGACAATTTGTTATTTGGTAGCAATCAACAGAGACCTGATTGAGGCGACACAAAACACCCACAGGGCTGCAATATGGCACAGATGTCTCCATGATGCTATAGGCTGAAGGAAGTTACAACAAAGCAACAATTTTAGGAGACGCAAGATGATTGGTGAGCAAAGAAATAAATCCAGCAATTAAGCAGCAACTAGAAATGAAGGTTATTCCAGCGCGCACACACAATCACACACTCTCACACACACACACACATCTTAATGCTCTGCAAAACTCTAATCTCTTTGTTTCAACATTGCTGCTTTGTCAGGCATAGCGAATTAGTGAAATAATCAGCAGCCATATTGCCCATTTCACCACATCCCAATCACCCAGTGCATGGGGATCATCGTAACTGAAACCAAAGCCATTAAGCATGGTGATTAGCAATCTGAGCACTCCCCAGTGGGCTTCCTGTCCCGGTGCAGAAAGGGCAAAGAGCCCAACCCCAGAGACAGTGTCTAGGACTGGGACTGTACCATCAGCCTGCTGCTCCTCATGCCGCTGCTGCTGCCACTGCTGCCGTCGGAGTGTTTTGCGTTTGGCGTAATCGTGGTCAAACGGCGTGGCCACGTAAGGAGGAGATGTCAGACCTGGGGTGGCAGCTGATGGATGGGAGGAGCTGAGGGCGTTCCCTATGCAAACTGAAGAGCAATTAAAGTCTTCGTCCATCATGGAGGGGGGTTTCTCCCTGCAACGAATCAAGAACGACGTTGAGATCGAACGTTCAGCCATGAGATTGAATTCTTTTTCGTCATTCCTGCTGGGTTATACATCAGTAGCTTACTTTTCATGGGACCTAGGCATGCTTGGCATACTCTTCTCTTCCCCCCTCGCAAATGGGCCGGTAGCAGCCTCAACCAGCAAGCTGAACAGCAGCTCGTGGTCCAGGTCAGGCTCATTGCCCTCTAGTAGTTTTAGGATGGTGGCACTGAGGCGGAAATGCAGCTAGAAGAAAAGAAGTTGGAATCAGGAAGTTTAACGGTGTCTTTAAATGTGAATGCTCCCAATCCATTATCTTAAATAACACAATCAATGTGACACAACCAGAAACTACTTGAGCTACCAGCCACAGGTAGTTTACCTCCAGGGCCTCCATGGCCAGGTCAGGGGGATTGTGGTAATGGATTTTCCGGGGGTACCTGGCAGCTTCTTCATGCAGAAAGTGTGCAGCCTACGAGTATGAAGAGGAGAGACAGTCACCGACACAACACAATCACCTGGCAATCCAAAAGAACAGACAAATGTAGGGGAGGAGTGCAGTAAGGAGCAGAAGACAGCTATGTGTGCCGACATCAGGGTTTATTGCGTCCACACTGCCCCCCCCACCCCTCATCCTCTGCTGACCTCTGTGACACAGCGTTTCATACAGGTTCCTCTGCCTCCACTGATCCAATCAGAACAACAGAGCTGTGACTAACTCCATACATTGTTCATTCGAAGAAAAAAAACTTCTTGCGAGGGTGGAAGGGCAGTGATTTCTGTAGGCGGGTTATGAAACAACTCCAGGGAGAGCGAGAACCTTAGTACCAAAGGATTATTCCAATTACTTTCAACTAAGGCTTTAATTTCCCTGGCTGGTATCATAATGACAATTATATTGAACCTTTCCTGTCTTATTTCACTGCCTTCTAATGCTTGTCCATTACACTGAAGTACTCAAATATTTGTTTATTATTAGGGGAAAATTATGTTTAATCAAGACCTCCGGAAATTATTCATTTGAAACTCACTCTGTATGCAGGTCACACTGCAGTGTGTCTTATTGTGTTAAACTGCCTGTCTTTCTGTATTCACCCTAAGACAGAGCACTACTTCTACTACAATTCGAACCTAAATCAATCAATTAAAATAACTGGAACAACGCCAGAGTACATGAACACGTCACGGCTGCTGGTCAGGTAAAACTTGAACTTATAACCGGGAGTCATTTACCTTTTTGTAAAGTTGCAGATATTCCACTGGTGTCTGTTTGCGTTTCTCTGCGATCTTTCCCAGCATGTAGTGAATGAGCCACTCTTCTTCGTCACTGTCACACTCACAACGGGAAGCTCCCTGGAAACACTGGAACGCTGTTTCCAACATGGAGTCTCTCCTTTCTTCCATCTGAAACGACAGACACACAGTGGAGCCTTCATGAGTAATTTGGCTCAGGGTGATGGATCAATTTACTCTACGACTCAATCACACGTGGAAGCAAGTGTGGAAGCAGAAGTGACATCTGTTTAGCTCACATGTGGAAAATCTGACACAATAGCCGACTTAACATAAGCTGACAGGGAACACAGATGGGCAACAAGATAACGGTGCTCACCTGTTTAACCACCTCTGGGGGGAGCTCGTTGCGCCACTGCTTGAGCTGCCGCGAAGCAAACGTATGCAGCGCGTACGAGATGGTACCGTACTCGATCCACAGAGACAGGTTGGAGCTGTCGATCTCCAGGGCACGCTTAAAGCAGTTAAGGACGGCCTGGGAGTGTTTCCAGATGGGAACGTCACTTTTCAGCTCGTTGGAGTTGAGCTTTTCCTGGATGCGGCTCGCCCTAGCTAAAGCCATACCCGCCCAGGAGTCAAACCTGAGGAAAGACATGTTTTTAGTAAAGCCTCTGTGCTTAATGAGTCTCTGTATCATTTGTTCTTTTCATATTAAATATAGAATCCAAAATCAAAAAATTATTTGTTATTCTGTCATTCTTTTATAAACCCAACACAAAAAAGTAATCTTTTTCCTACTTTTGATTTTATGATCAAGTCAAAAATGGGAAATTAAAAAACAGCCACGGGCAGAAATTGATTTTGTTTTTTATATTTATGTTTCCAATTAGTGTAACCAAGGAGTCTGGCTACAAACTTCTTTGTGTGTTGGACTTAATAGCCTAACTGTAACAGCCAATACACACAGCGATGGTGCTACCTGATTTAATATAATGAATATGACCTGGAACATGAATATAAGTGTTATAAAATGTCACTTTAAAGTGTTCACAGATAATGAAGAAACAGCTAAATGTTGCATATAAAGTACAAAAAACAAGCAGTTATTATGTTTTTCTGTTGGATTCATAAATGAAAAATGAAATAATGATTGACGATTTTTGATTGGATATTGAATGTGAAAAGAACAAATGATACACAGATTTTGATGTATGATTTTAAAAAACAACATAAACCCTACAATCTCACATTAATTTGCCATTATTCCTACCATACATAGAGTTCAATTTTACCTTCAAATTAAAATTAGATTATGTTTTATAATGTGCACTAGCATCGACACTAGTGCAGAGAAATAAGCTACCTGTTGGGACACACGCATATGTCATGCATGTAGAACTTGATGGCTTTAGACTGCTCCTTGTTCTTGAAATGATAATCAGCCAGCAGGTAGTAGATCTCATCAATGATTGGAGGGGCAGGAGCGCTGCCCTCAGGAAGGCAGGGGGCCTTAAAGAGATCAAAAATTACATAACATATCTTTAATAATAATCATCATGATTCTGAAAACGAAGAGAAAAACGTATGACTGTTTAGCATGTCTGACTCAGTGGTGTTGTTCATTCAGTGTGGGCCCACCGACTGACCTTTTCTGTCATGCACTCAATGTAGGCTGCCACTTCATCCATGGTGAGGATGGGGGTGTCACTGGTGGGGGCGATGCCCGCAAACCTCCTCAACAGATTGGCCAATTCCGCAGACACCGTGCTGGTCTTGTAGCTGTCAAACTCAGGCAGCGACTTTGGTTTGAAATACTGGAACATAAAGAGGGCATCGCACCACCGCAACTCAACCTGCAAAACACAGATTCATTCCACAGGAAACATTAGTGTCAGTCCACAGTAATGGAGTGTAACACACAGCGCCGGAGCAAATTAGTGGCGTTGAGGTCTCCTGGGGGCTCTTGTCTTGCACTGTGGTATTAATTACAGTCAAAATGCCAGTCATCGAAATGCACAGCTGTGGGAATGACAGCCACCTGGTGGCTGGACACAGGCATTACAAAAATACAAGAGACCAGAGGCTGCAGCCACAAAGATTCCTGGGGCAAATGAGCAGAGTTGGACAAGTTACTGAAAATTAGTAATTAGTTACTTCTCTTAAAAGTAATTTAATTACTTTACCAATTATCGCATATAAAAGTGATTAATTACTAGGGAAAGTAACTTTTGTGTTACCTTTAAATGTATGCTTCAGTTAACTTTTTAATACACACAGCTGTCAGCTATATTATGTGTTTCTGTGTTTAATCAAGTTATTAATACTCCAACTATCAAAGGGCAGCAAGGACTAGCGCTCCTCTAGGCTACACTTATTGCCTTGGTTAGTAGACAGGAGATTTAGTAGAAGACCCACACAGATGTACACATTAACCGAGTTTTGCTACTGTAGTTAGTTCATTTGTGATTATATTTTATGAACAGAAAGCAAGATCACATTGCCGGAGCCTTCTAGGGCACCGTATGGTCAGGTGATGTACGATAATAAACCGGAAAATCGCGGGGATATGCTCGGATTTGCTTTTCCGTCTACTTCTTGTCCACTATTTTCAGTTAAGACAAAAGTAACAAGCACATTTAAATTTCCGTAATTGTGATTGCATTATATCTGATATATAATCTGAAAATGTAATCAGTTACCTTACTAGCATTACTTTACAACGTGTTACTCCCAACACTGGCCATGAGTCACAGTATTATTAGAATTATGAGACTGTGTGAGTCTCATTTTTTAAATTCAAGTCAATCTGGCTCACCTGTGCTGTTAAGACGGCTCTAAAAGGTGAACAAATTAACGTTAGGAGTGAATGGCTTCATGAGGTGGAGACAGAAGAGGGCACGAAAAGCTAAACCACAGATCTGACTGTGCAGGTATGTCGTTTTTGGTTGATCTAAACGTGTTCACATTTCTCCCTCAGTGAATTATCTCTATTATGCCATTAATGCAATTTCACGGCCCCAATTTATTTCAATGACACCAGACGTGTGCTCTCTGCAAGCCGACAAAACAACATTAATGGATAAAGCGGCCATTAAAGCAGGCTTCCTCTGTGCTGTGAGGGTCAACAAGAGCACATGTTTGCGTCACCGGCAGCCTGCTCCCGTTCAAACACTCTACGCGCGTACGTTTGCCAATACAGGTGAGAAATCATACCAATTAGTCAAAGCCTTGAGGCATTTTCACCACCTCTTCACTATTTCACCGCCTCTTCAACGCCATTTAGCCATTATCTAAATACCAGCTCACACACATTTGGAGTTTTTTTTTGTTTTACATTCTCAATTACATAACATGTTGACTTTTAAAAGCGTGAGAGTGAGTGACCTGTGGAGATGAGTGGTCCTCAAGGTAGCGGGCCTTGCTCTTCTTACTGGGGTAGCCATAGAGGCAGAAGAAGCACTGTTCCAAAGCCATCTCCAACTCCTCTTTGTAGGGGTGAGAGTTATTGCTGGATGAGGCTGCAAGCTCTTTTTCCAAAACCCGAACCTACACCAAACATTAGAATAAAGCTCCGTCAGTCACACAGAAATATAGGTCAGGTCTATGAGCAAGAAAGCACAGCAGATATTATTTCAATCTTTCCATTTCTTTTCAAATTAAAGAAGGCATTTGCAGTCATACAGATAAATCCACAAACTTACAAAGAACTTGAGGAGGGCTCCGTCTGAGTTGCAGCACAAGGAGCGTCGGCCGAGATACTCATGGGCTGTGTTCAGAAGCATCAGGGAGGAGGGCAGCATGGGAGTGTCCGAGTCATCTGAAAGTGAGAGTCGGCAGGGTCACTGAGTGTAGCAACTACCACGACATAAACACAGGGAAAACTGAAGGCATGAAAACAAGAAGTCAACAAACCTTCATCATCCCCTACAGACATATGCTGTCGAAGCATACAGTCAAAAGCAGCCTCCTCGTGTTTGATAATGCGATACAAGACAATCCAAGGCAGGACCGAGAAGAAGTAAGGCTCCTTGGGATCGTCGGAAGTGCTCATGCTAAGATCGATCAGCTGAGAACACAATAGAAACCACCCAGTGAATTCAAATCCAACAAAGGCTTATCAGTCTCTTATTACAGTATCACTTTACTGTTTATTGTGTTGCATTTAGCTCCTTTCTAACCTGAATTAGGTTGTTTGCCAGTCGAGCCATGCTAGAGAAGTGGGGGACTTTGCTCAGAAGCGCTGAGTCTTTGGTGAAGCAGACCTCAATGCCATCGAGCAGCTTTCGAATGGTGCTGACCCACTCCTCCTTAGTGGGTGGGGGGCTGTTTGAAGCAGAGTTGAGCTGCTGCAGGGCTTCATTTAAAGACAGCTCGCTGCACTCCAAACACTGCTGGTGGTCCTCCATCTTCAGCAGCGAGTTCTGGGCCGGAAATTCAGAAAGTGTCAGCCATTGAGAACGATATACGGATTCAAACTGATACTGTTGTAGCATATCTAACCTGCATTAGCATCAGCTGAGCCGGCCGCTCTGGTGCTGAGCTCACAAACTCCAGAGGTTTACTCCTGCTGCCATAATTAAGAGTGGGCTGCAGCAGGCGCACAACAGACTCAAAGTCTGCAGACTCAAACAGACGCTGGATCTCCTCCAAAGACTGACAACGCTCCAGAGACTTCAGCCTCTTGTCAATCTGTCCATGGGGATAGAGGAAACCCAAAATAAACCCACACACAAAACAGCTAGAATTCACTATTATGCCAAAAAAAAAAAAAGGGGAAGATCAACAGAAAAACTGAGATACTCAAAGTATGGACGAGCAATATTTCTTTTCACATCTAATGAAAGCGTTAAGGACATTTCATTTTATAAATAAATGATAATATGTTTTATCAGCCAGCACACTGACCTCCTCCACAGAGATTGCTGCATCTACACGCAGGTTAGGCAGGTTGATGGTGTAATGTTTCCCTTCAGGAGTCTTTGGTTTGCTCTGCAGCAGGCTTGTACAGACATCATAGCTCTCCAGGGCCAACTCCATGTCTCCCTGAAAAATCAAAGGCACACTTTACAAGTCACATCTGGCTGAGCTGAGTGGAAAGGACTCACACAGCAAAATGTAGACTTTACCTGCAGGGCCAGGAATCGTGCCTTGAGCCAGTAGACACGCACCATGACGTCCAGCCAGTGGTCCTCAAACAGATCCTTTTGGGATGAACCTAAGGCCAGGAGTAATAAATCACCCTGGAAGTGCTGCCCAGGGAATTCTGAGTCAGCCACATCACTGCCGGGACCAGTGCTGCTTCTTCTTGGAGACACTAGACAAAGAAAAAACATTATAACAACTGTAAATATCTGCATTTGTTCCCCACAAGTGACTCTCATATTTAAAAAATCCTGTACATTATCATTATCATGTTTAGAACTGTAACTGCAGTGCCCCCTTTAGGACAATCAATTTTTCAAAACTCAAAAAGGCAGCAATGACGTTTAGCACATTTAGGTTTGATTAGCATTTTATCTGCAGTGCTTGAGATGTGACATGTAACACACTGACAAACATTACAGCAACCCTGTGGCTACGTAATGTAGCTTCGCCACACTGCAGCACAGTAAAGCATCAAACAGGTTTGTCTAACTCTAATCAGAGCAGATGTGTGCTAGCTGGGACTTACCAGTCTTCCCTTTGTTGTGTGACCATTGCTCCAACTGCAACTCCATACACGCCAAGCTCATGGCCAACATTTCCTGTACATGTAGCAGATATAAAGACACATTAGAGGTCATTATGGGTGCCAAGTATGAGGCCAACTCTGATGAAAAACTATAGTTATGTCCCTGATTTCCTTTTAAAAAGAAAATCTAAACCTCTAGTAGACCCTGGAGTCTGCTGACAACGGCCAAGTTTTAATTTGAATGCTCTATTATGATCATATGTGTTTTGATTTGTGAAAAATGTAACCATTTTGACTCACAAACTGATCAAAAATGGTCCAAATCCCTCCAAAATACCACACTGAGACACCAAGAGCTTGAGGAACACCATAAAAAAAAAATCATGCTGTGATCAAAAACGACTGACATTTGAACACTTATGTAACTTTTACACTTTTGTTCTGGAAATTGCTCAGAAACCTCTTTATTGTCACTATAGCTAGGAAAGCCACCCAGAGGCCGTCTAGTTTGTGGTTACACAGTTTAAAGAGGCTGTGATTATCTTAGAGGTCACAATAGGTCATACGGCGTCCCCGTGGAATCTTTAAGACGGATGTACAACAAAGATTTTACATTTTATATCACACCAAAGTAAACCCTTTTAAATAAAAACTCTTAATAATGACATATTGCTGTGAGTCTCGGGCTTACAGGAAATCTAAACCTGCAATCAGATTCATTTACCCGGATGTGGTGGTTGCTGCAGTCCCGGAGCAGAGGGTTAGGAAGACCACTGCTGTGCTTCCTCCAGGTCTGATAGACCTCCAGTACGACAGCGGACAGGCCCCGAGGCCACCCCTCCAGGAACTTCTGACCCACTGCTTTCAGATAGCGCATCATCAGGTCCAGTATGCCTCCATTGGTCATATTATTGAGCAGGAAACTGTGGACATCCTGTTGTTCTACAAAAGGAAATGAACAATTTGTTGATGTAACAGAAACAGCAACAAGGCAAGACGGTGTGTTGTAAATACACATCAATGATACACTACGTACCAGATTCCATGTATTCAACTGAGTCAACAGGCAAGCAGCTCCCATGTAGAGGCTGCATGTCCTCCTTCCCATCACACTGCGTCTCCAGATTACTCAGACTCTCATCATCGTTATCAGGATCAAACTTCCTTAGCCTAAGACCAACCAGAAAGTGTTTAATCAACAGAACTACAAGGAGCTATGTGTATATGTATTGTATATTAGTTAGCTACCTGGAAGGCAGGTATTTAAAAAGCAGTTCCTGAAAATCAATTTTCTCTTCCTTCTTGCATTTTGTGTTTCGAACACGCGCCGAGCGTCGCTTGGCTGTCTCCCCACTATCTTCCACTGTGCGCTTCCTTTTCGGAGCTTTCTTCACTTTATCCGTCAGTGACACTTCCATTGCTGTCGCTGCGAACATGCAGCAGGATAAAGAAAAACAACATTAAATCTCACAGAATATTACTTAGACAGTTGCTAAGAAAGTAAATAATTAAGAGGAACTACTCACCGACTGGGGGAGCAGAGGTGGTGACCTCCACGGTGGTCTGGCTGGGGGTGATCTGGCTGGGGGTGATCTGAGGCTGCGTGCCGGGCTGGGGCAGCACTGCCGGCTCAGGGAGGACCATTGGCGGCAGGGAGGAGCTGGGGCTGCTGCTCAGCACGGTGGTCTGGCCCATACTGACGGGGCTGCTGGGTTGGGGGAGGTTCTGCAGGCAGTTTGGGTCGCGGTACTCTGATAAGTCAATTCTGCGGCCAAGACTCGGCCGTGGGGGCTCACACGTTGTCTGATGTCTGTACATCGCAAGAAGGCTTTCGCCCACATGTTTCCATCTGAGATACAAAAAGAAAACAGTTCATTAAGGAGGTAAAGGTTTAGGTCATTGTCAGTGAGATCAACCAACAATTTCAGTCCAGTATATCTCTTCTCAGCATCTTCTAGCTCTGCCTGAGTATTAACTGGTCTATCTTTAGGAAGACAAATTTAAACTAAACCCCCCAGGCAGGAAAAAGAAAACATTCACAGCAGCGCAGTACTCACGAGAGGCAGCGGATGGGCTCAACCAGGACAAGATCAGGTTTTGGTTCACATTTAGAGAGAGCCTGTCTGCGCTTCCGCATCTCCAGTGCCTCTTCCACAACGGATTCACGCTCCTCTTTCTCCACTTCCACATAGTGAATGGACATATCACTGCAAATGACCCACAGCACAGCACAGAGGTTCGTCAGTGATGTGAAAGCACAGAGCTGCAGCTGGAACACAGTCTGAGACAGACAGAGGAATAAAAAAGTGAGGTGGCTTCACCATTTCATGAACATCTGCATCGTATCCCTCTTCAGACAAGGCTGCTCCTCAAAGATTTTCTCCTTCAGCACCAGGCCTTTAGTGTAGCAGTGATCCCTCTCTAGGGCTTTGGCGATGAAGTACAAACAGCCTGGAAATAAGCATGCAGATGACAGTTACTGTTCCTTCTGTACTTGAGCTCCTGCATTGGTAATGAGAGTGGATACGGAGCAAAGAGCTTATGATGATGTATTACATACAGGTGTAGTCGCTGAGTGTGTAGAGAATAGTTATGAGGTTGTCCAGGCAGGGCCAGTGGTCTGGGTTGCAGTGCAATCCCTCTTCGAAGGCGTGTCGAGCCAGAGGAATGCGCACCAGTCGCACAGCCACCTGACCGATTTTGTACCACATGTTCACATCGGTGGAATCCAACATAACCGCCTGAGAGGAGAACAGAGCAAACAATATAGTATGAACACCCAGCACAGTGTTATTGATGTGCATTAAAGCATACTGAGTAGGATTTTCCTTAAAAAAAAACAACGTACAGACTCATACAATCATAATCCCTCTCAGGCTGCCTGTGTTTTCCTGTATTTTTGGGCGTCAACCTTTGGGCAGCACAGTGTCTGAGGTAGCAAATAGATTGCTGTCTCTGTCTCTCTCTTCTGCTCTCCTTAGCGCTGGCACAGCACTAAAATGAAGTGTGGAGATAGGACTGGCCATGCGAGACTATGCACGCGTAAACAGCTGCGGGTGGGTCTGTTTGACCGAGGGCGGGGCTGAGCTGGATACAGCAGACAGTGCAGCTTCGACACAAAATCCAGCAATGTGCACACTTGTGTCAGACTGAGCGGACGGGTGGGGGTCCTTTAGAGCGTAACTAAGGCTGCAACTAACAATTATCGATTGATCTACTTATTATTTTCACGATTAACAGATCAATGTTATGTTTAGTCTATAAAAAGAGAAAAGAAAATTGTAAGAAATGCTCATTTCAATTTCCCAGAGCCCAAAGTGACATCTTCAAATTACTTCTTTTGTCCAATCAACAGTTCAAAACAGTTCAAAACAGTTCAAAACCGTTCAAAACTGTTCAAAACCAATCATTATTGACATAAAAGTCCTCACATTTCAGAGCTGTATCATTGCTCTCAGTTGAGCTGAGTAATGGTGCATTTACAAACAGTACAGAAAAATCCACCTGAATATGCCTTTAAAGACACATTTAGTTGCACAAAGAGGTACGACGCCAACTCCTACACAACACATAAACTGTGTTATAGTTTTACCTCCAAATAAAACTCCATAGCGGTCTCCAGGTCATCCCGCGTTGCAGCCATACTGGCCAAATTCTTAAAAGTAGAATATTTCAGCATCAGTCCGGGATGCTTGAGGCCCACTTGCTGATCATCCGAGGCCATCGCCTAAAGAATTAGAGGATAAATCAAATGTGGCGCCAAAAACACAGTAAAGCGGATTAATTCTTCTCCTGTACAAGGTCAGGGTTTGTATGAACGTAAAAGTTCAAATTAAAGTTTATTTAATCAGTAAAACTGAATTTTGGCTCTTTAATCTGAATTTTTAGACATGAACGTTGCAGAGAAAATAAGAGAGATATTTGGGACAAGCAGACCTTCACAAACATTGCACAAAGGACAGTTAGAAAGATCTTTTTGTTAACATTACTATAAAAGTGACAACGAACGAACAGCTCTACCGGTTGTTTTTGCACAACTGAATTTGGACGTAAGAAGTTAAATTAGGGGAAATAAATCCATCCCAGGTACTTTTGTACTCTGCAACCATATAAACAAAGACTTTCTCACGAACCTCGACAGGACTGTATGCTGAGTGATGTTTTACCTCTTTGAGCAGCGGAGTTTTGAGGAGCTCATGATAAGCCTTGGCAGACTCCTCAAACTTGTCATGTTTTTGCAGATCTAAGGCTTTGTGGTATAAAGCGAATGCCTCGGCTTCCTGTGGACAGAGATCAAAGACAAATCAGACAACTTAATTTTAGATCTACAGAGTGTGTATTAGTGGACGGGCTGCTGATTCTTCTGCACATAGACTGTACCTGAGCCTCTTTTGTCTGACTCTTGTTACTTCTCAGGGGGTCTTGGGATTCATCTGCAGCTGTCGAAGCAGCATTCAGTGCTGCTATGCGAATCTGTAAAGAAACACAGAAAAAGAAGACAAAGCCCTTAAAAGCCCTTAATAGCCCTTAAGCAAGCAGATATACAAGGGAGGGTAGAACAGTCTGTTCCAGGGATGTGTGAGTCGGCTCTTTTCTTTCTCTGATGATTGATACAGGACAGAATAACAGGATGAGTCTAGTATTTGTTAAATATGATCCAGAAATTTCTCACTTCACTAACTGAATCATTTAAAGATCCAGTGTGTATGTACGTCTGTAGATAAAAATGTCTCATTCTGAAGCAACAAATTCTTCTTTTTAGGTGATGAAAACATATCAATGAATATTATATAGTTATATAATAGTGACACACTGGACCTTTAAGTGATATCTGTGCACACATACAGAACAGGTCAAAGCGCTGTTAAAATGTTAAATAAATGAGTTATAAAAGCCAGAAGAAGAGAGGGAGCTCTTCTTGCTGCACGGAGCTAAAAAGAGACAGAATTCATCACAAGCACAATCACAAGGAGTAGTGACACAGAACAGCTTCCCAGGATAAACTCCACGTTTTAAGAGGTCTCACCATTTTAATATGCGGAGAACGGAGCGTCCAGCTTCACGGTTTGCAGCTTCTGATCGGATCTGCAGGAATATATGGAAACAAAATGAGAAAGATACAAGAAGGGAGGATTCAGCAGGCAACAGAAAAACATTAACTACTTATAAAACCTTTAGAGAAACCAATGCTGGGACGAACAATGGTCGTAACATTATTTGTCTCAGCACATATAACTCACAAAGCATTTACCTTATTTTAACTACTAAATGTTATTCTTGCAAAAATTAATAAAAGTCTTCCGAGACGATTAAGATCCAATAGAGAAACAGATTTCCATTCGGACTATTAAAATCCTTTAAGAACCCGACAATGGCTTTTATTTCCTAATGCCTCGTCATTCATTCAGTCAGTGCAGTGCTTAAATTAAAGACCCGAACACAAGCTGTGCTGACAGAGCCTTCACTCTCTGATGAACAGCCTCGTCCTGCAGCAGAACAACAACCAAAAACTAACATCTTTATCTTTACACATTGTCAAGATCATCATGTGTCACACTGCTAACCTGCAGATTCCTGTACAGTCTATTTTTATATTAAAAACACCACATTTTATAGACACAAATAACAATTTAATTTTAGTTTTTACTTGTATGTTTGAAAATTGTGTTAAAACATAACTTAAAATTCAGTTTTTGGCCTATTTTTATATTAAAAACACCACATTTTATAGACACAAATAACAATTTAATTTTACTTTGTACACGTACAATTGAAAATTGTATATTATTATTATTTTTTTTTTTTTTTACAGGCCATAATGTACATACTGTCTCTCTCTTTATATATTTGTATAGAGGAGTATTTGTATAATCACAGGGAATTAATGCAAAATGCATCCAAATATCTGGTTTTTACACAAACTTCCTGCAGTCACTGAGTTCACTGTTGGGCTCATTGTGCAGTTGTTCTCTGCTGCTGTTGTTCTGCATTAAAATCTAACACGAATGTCCCTTTAGGAAGCACTGAGTTACTGTAATGTTGAACCAACAATGCAGCCAGGTGTAGTCAGACAGTAGCACAGCTGCTAACAGAGAGGAGCCACTCAAACTGCAGCCTGGTGATCTGAGCACTGCTGTGAGTTCATCTGCGCACTCTCCCTGCAGAAGGCGGTGGATATCTACCGTTAAATGTGTTTAATATACCGTTATCCTCCTCACCGGGCGAGGAAACATCACCAGCAGCTGTTAGCATTCACGTTTACATGAGCTAACGGTTAGCTCCCGTTTCACCGGGCGACTTACCGTTCATTCCCGGTTCTTCTGCATCTGTAACCGGTACTGTGACAACAACGAGCCGGTGAAACGTTACCAACAACAACCACACACACAAACAGACAAACACCGCGGTTGTGAGAGGAGAAGAAGTTTTTAAACTTCATTTATTCTCCATCCTTTGTTGTTGTTAACGTGACGTTCGCTGCCCGCCAATCAGTAACGTCGGCCCTGATTGGTCGATACGCTGTGGGTGCAGTCATGTGACCAATCGTATTATGGGATATTGGGTGACGCTACACACACACACACACACACAGCACTGAAATCAACTTAAAATACAGTTTTTGGCCTATTTTTATATTAAAAACACCACATTTTATAGACAAAATTAACAATTTAACTTTAGTTTTTACTCGTACTTTTGGAAATTGTGTTAAAACATAACTTAAAATACAGTTTTTGGCCTATTTTTTATTAAAAACACCAAATTATATAGACACAAATAACAAGTTAACTTTAGTTTTTACTTGTATATTTGAAAATTGTGTTAAAACACGACTTAAAATACAGTTTTTGGTCTATTTTATATTAAAAACACCACATTTTAGAGACAAATTAAACAATTTACTTTACTTTTTACACATGCGCATTTTGCAAGTTTTTCAAACCTGTCAAAGTTGTGTTAAACCTTAACTTAAAGTACATTTATTAGCCTACATTTATTTAAATTATAGAAAGCCACCTTACCACATAACATAAGATGTTCCTTTATTGATCTCCCGTATAGAGGGAATTGGCACAGCAGCACAGGGCAATGTAGTACAAAGAATAAATAAAATACAATAACAATCTAATAAAATATATACACTGTATAGACGTAACAGAAGTCAGACACATAATACCGCTGTGCTTACTGTGAACTGTGCGGTCATCATGCTTGACATTGTGCAATCTCATAATGTTTAAAGGTGATCAAACCAGCAGCCTGTATAGCCAATACGGGGATAAAGGACACTTTTCACTGCTCAGTGGTTGTTTTCTGCAACCCTAACCAATCCCAGTCTGATGAGGGCTTTTCTCTGATCGACTAAACCTGCAAAGACCTGAATTTTTTGTTCAATTTTCAATCATGCAACCACATATCCTACAGAAAGCACAGCCTTACTATAGCCTCAGAGACATCTGCTGTATTAAATATGCAGTTTATGTAAATCAGAGAATAACCAGGAAGGATACACATCAATAATTCCTTATACATCAGCACACTCTGTCCTATACATTTGTAGTCAGCATTTGTGATGTGTAACCTGCAGGGTACACAGACAACCACTAGAGGGCAGACTTTTATTTTATAATCCAGTTTCCTCTGAGATTGATGTGGTATTTTTTTAATCACAGGATCATCCAAACTGTCTGATCTCCACATGATTTTCCTTGGATTGGCTTTTATTGTGACTCTTCAGTCTCTTATATATTCTAACACATCACACAGGTGATGTAAAGCAGTGTCTTCTGCTTCAAAAGGTGCTTTTCCTCCCCTCTTCCATCATGCAGTATTTCTACTCCTACATGACAGATACATTATGTCTTTGTCAGGATTTTTATTGGAACAACTTCTGCAGTTTTGGGGGAGTAACAGTATACTGTTTTTGTCCTCAGTGACCCTGTGTGTTGCAGTCCCTTGTTGCTTATCCCCGCCTACTCCACCCACCCACACTCATCCTCACCCCACCCCATCTCTCCCTTGGCAGAGACTGGCTGGCTGGCACCATTATCAATTCCTTCTGTCAGCATGCCTGCAAAAAATAGCTGACGTCATAGTCATTACTGGCTCTATAAAAGCCAGGGTAATGCAGATTCACAATGCAGTCAACCCAGCCACATTCCTAGACTTAGAGCAGCCCGTCGCTCAAGTCATGACGTCCACCGGCTTTGACCCTTACTTCCCTTCTACTTACAAGAGGAGAGTGGTTGTGCGCAATGCAGGATATGGATCTGGTGGAGGAATAGGATCCAGGTCTGCCTACTTCAGCCACTCTGCCCCAATAACTTCCTATGCATCCTCACGCAGAAGTTATCCAACACACACCAAAGCTATCTCCGGCTACTCCTCCGTGCTCTCTGCTCCAGTGTCTGCGGCCGCCACTGAGCTACGCCTTGACCAAGCAGCCCAGGTCAGCGCCGAGTTCAAAGCAATAAGGACCCATGAGAAGGCTGAGCTGCAGGACCTGAATGACCGCTTTGCCAGCTTCATTGACAGGGTCCATGAGCTGGAGCAGCAGAACAAGTTACTGGAGACTGAACTCCTGCTGCTCAGGCAGAGGCAGGTGCAGCCGTCCAACATCCGGGCCCTGTATGAGCACGAGATCCGCCAGCTGCGTGCCGCCGTTGAAAATGCCCGCCATGAGAAGCAAGCCGCCCAGGACCACAGGGATGAGATGGAAGACGTGCTGAGGAACATGCAGAAGCGTTATGAAGAGGAAGTGGTCGGCAGAGAGGAAGCAGAGGGAAGGCTTATGGAGGCCAGGAAGGAAGCAGACGAGGCCGCACTGGGCCGGGCTGAGCTAGACAAAAGGGTTGGGACCCTGCTGGACGAGCTGGCCTTCCTGAAGCGCCTCTGTGAGAGCGAGATTGTTGAGCTGCAGGCCCAAATTCAGTTCAGCTCAGAGGTGTCAGTGGAGATGGAGGTCGCCAAACCTGACCTGTCCGCTGCTCTCCGAGACATCCGAGCCCAGTATGAGAAGCTGGCGCAACACAACCTTCAATCAGCCGAAGAATGGTTCTGCAGCAAGATGAATGTGATGACAGTGGGCTCTGCACGCAACACGGAGAGCGCCCGTAATGCCAAGGATGAGGTTGGAGAGTACCGCCGGCTCCTCAGTTCCAGGATGCTGGAGATCGACGCCTGCCGTGAGATGAATCAAGCTCTGGAAAACCAGCTGCAGGACGTGGAGGAGAAACAGAGTGCTGAGATTTCTGCACTGCAGGTGAGGAACAGGAAGACAACGAGCTCCAAATATCTCAATGTTTCTTAAAAATCTGTGAATTTCTACATTTCTGCCAGTGTGGCCTGTTATTGAGCATGCAATGATATGCCAATGTTTTCCTGCAGCCTATAATGTGCCACTAACATGTTGTTTTATCTTCTCTGTGCAGGACACAATAGGTCAACTGGAGGATGAGTTGAGGGCAAACAAGAACGACATGGCTCGCTACCTGAAAGATTATCAGGACCTCTTGAACGTGAAGATGGCCTTGGATATTGAAATTGCAGCCTACAGGTGAGACTTTCCAGTGTTTTGTATATTGTGTCGTGATTGTGGGGTTTAAATAAATGCCACCAGCGCCAATAATTTTGAATTTAATTGTGATGTGTGTGTGTCTCATTCTGTTAGGAAACTCCTTGAGGGAGAGGAGAGCCGTTTAAATGTGGCGGAAATGGCGTCTGCCAACGTTTACTCCCAGGCCATGTATGCCTCTCCATTCTACGGAAGAACACAGTTCTCTGTGCAGTCTCAGCTGAGCTCTGCAGCTCCATACCTGCTGAGCTCCCGCTTCTATACTTCATCACTCCCCACCGAGGAGACAATATCCGCAAGCCAAGCACAGCAGGCGGAGGCCAGCCCCCCTAAGGAGGAGGAGGAAGAGCAGGTTGAAGAGGAAGAGCAGGTTGAAGAGGAAGAGAAGGAGGAAGAGGAAGTGGAGGAGCAGGGAGAGGAGAAAGAAGAGGATGAAGAGGAAGAGAAGGAGGAAGAGG